ACAACCCACGCAAAACCCGCTACACAACAGTCAGGCAAGCTCCGACACAGGTCAACACGGCAGCCATCTTATAACAAATCATAGAATTATAAAATACAAAGCCGCCCGCCGGGCGGCGGCAGTGCGCACGCGTCGGCCGAGTTTTGGCAGTATCGGGGCCAAACGAGTCGGCCACGCTAGCCCGTCGTTTCCTCAGCGGAGCGGTGGCTGCATCACAATCGGCGCCGATCGCGCCGCGAGAGCACGCTTTGTAACGGTGTACATCCACGACGAGAGCCCGGGACATCCGGCCCCGTCTCAGCTGCCATACATGTCCCGGCGATCGACCGACCGCGTGCCGCCCCTGACGAGACAGTCGGCCAGCCGGCCAGACGGCGGCCGCCACGGGCTGGTCCTGACACGTGCCGCCGCCCCGGCACCGCTCGGCCCGGCCGCCGCTAGTCGAGCAGCTCGTACCGGCGCACGCGCACGCGCTGCTTGTAGTGATACTCCATTAGGAACTGTCGCAGCGGACGCGGCAGGCGCAGCTGGTTGATGCCGTCATAGTTGATGCACGACACGATGGCGGCGCGGCACAAATGCGTGAGCGGAAACACGAACGTCCGGTTCAGAGGCCGCGTCAGCATCGGCTCGAAGAACATGCAGCAGCTCGGGTCCTTGTAGTGCTCGATCAGACCGGTCACGGTCGACGACGCGTACACGCCCGGGTCGTGCGAGTCAAAGCTGAAGTTCTGGTTCCACTGCTCGATGCGCGCGTGCAGCGAGCGGCTGTAGCGGCGGAAGCTGACTGAGAAGAGGTACTCTTCCTGCGCCGAATCGCGCAGCAAGAACGTGCCTTCGGGCTTGTTCTCCAGCAGTCGCTCGGCCTCGTAGCGGTCCATCTCGCCCCAGTAGAACGGACTGTTGACGATACGCAGCAGATCCGGCACCAGGCAGTGGATGTAGTCGACCGTGGTGTGCACGGTGCGCTGTACCAGCGAGCCGTCCATGGCCAGCTGAGCGAAGTGCGACACCAGCAGCTGCGACTCGGCGTGTGGCGCCGGCAGCGCGGCGGGCGCCGGCGGCTGCTCGGCGGCCGGAGCCGGACGCGCCACGTCCGCCCGGCCGCCGCCGCCCGGCGCCATCTCGATCCCTTCGGCGATCTCGCGAGCACGCTCCTGGCGGGCGCGCTCGTCGAAGTCGTCCGTTGGGTACTGGTCGGGGTTGAAGCGCGTCAGGTCGATGATCGGCGGCCGCGGCGGCTCCGAGCCCGACGATAGCGAGGGACTAGAGCCGCGCCGTCCGGCCGCTGCCGGCGCCGGCTCGCGACCGCCGCGGGTCCGCGACACGCGCGCCCCGGCCTGCCGCAGCGCACGCAGCGTCCGTCTGATGCGGCTCTCTTTACGGCCGGCGGCGGTCGACTCGGCTGGCCTGGCGGCGGCGGTGGTGGTTGTGATGGTGGCGGAGGCAGCAGCGGGTCGGCTGCCGGTGGCGGCGGCGGTGGCAGCGGTAACGGTGGCGCCGGTGGCGACGACCGGTCGGCACAGCTCGCACCCGGCCGCGGTCGCGGCGCCCTCCGATTCGGCTGGGCCGCACCGGCAGGCGCGTGCCGCTGCCGCCGCCGCCGCCACCGCCTGCCGCTCCAGGGCCTCGGCGTTGGCCAGCGTGCGGCCGACGGTGCCGTAGATGCCCTCGGCGGTGCGGCGGCGCGGCGGCGGCGAGCTGTCCTCGGTCTGCACGCTCACCTCACGCGACATGTCCGGCTCGAGCACCACCTCACCGGGTTCCGCCTCATTCATGCTGCAGCGTGAGAGGGTGCGACTCAGCGTGCGGCCCATGTAGTCCCGGGCCAGCGTCAGGTGCCGCCTCAGGCCGCTCATGCTCGGCGCCCGCCTGCCGGACACAAAGGGCAGTCAGTAAAAAGTATCAAATCACAGTCAACACTATCGCCCGTTGGCGTCGACTTTAGCGCAGCTCATTAGCGCAAAGTCGTACACCATCTGACAGATACGCAACATTTAACAATGGTCGTCCGCGGGCTTTAATGAAATGGCATGGTGTTCATGACTCGAAACCTGAACTTGGACATGGACGGTGTATATTATATATTTCCGCACGCAATGTATTGCAGCTGTACAACAGTAGTTTCTATTACCGATTCCCTCAGCATACAAAACAACACCCTCGATCGTAATGTTCACCGCACACACAGGCATCACTACTTCCATCCAATCACCAAGAAAATCCTAACTTTGTGGAAGCATTAATCAGGACGCGAAAGTGCACGGTGTTTTGGACCGCACGGCGTTCTGGGCCGGTCGCCTTGCACGCACCATACACGTTGATGACGCGCGGGCACTTCCACCGGAGTGATTCTCCGACGCACGACACAGCGCCGATACCTGTGTCCGTGACCTCCGCCCATCTGCTGGTGCTCTACAGCCTCATGACTGGTCCACCACGCCACGACCTTGGCATGGCAGGCATTCTCCGCAACAACCGTGAGCTTGCCCGCCCCGGGGCCGGGCTTGACGCGGACCATACGTCACGTCTGTGACGGGTAGCGTGCATGGATGCTTTGTGCTAGATGCGTTCACAGCTTGCCACCACATTCGCGGCTGGACCAAGCAGCTGTAGCTGACCGTGCACTGGCCGCCTGTCAGCCTGCCGACTCAGCTGACGCCGTCGGCCACGTCAGCCGCTGGCCGCAGGCCCGGGCGGCCGTCGATCAGCCTGCCGGGCCTGTCAGGCCCGGTGTCCGGCCACAGCTGGTCACACTGACGGCGCCGCCCCGGAGGACGAGCAGCGCTCAGAGACCGGGCGGTGCCGGCGGAGGCGGCGGCGGAACAGGTTCGGACCGGACAGGGTAGCGGCAACGACAGGCTCCGAATGGACGGGGTGGTCATGACGAGACTCTGACTGGACGGAATAGCGACGGCAGACTCGGACTGGACGGAATAGCGACGGCAGACTCGGACTGGACGGAGCAGCGACGACAGATTCGGACTCGACGGAATAGCGACAACGACAGTCTCGGACTGGACGGGATGGTGGCGATGAGTCTCGGACTGGATGGGACGGCGAAGACAGGCTCGGAATGGACGGGACCATCACTATTCCTCCGAGCAGCCATGGTGTCTCACATCCGGTCCGCTCGCACGTCACGCCTGGCTGTGCGCTCTCCGCCCCGCCCCGACGTCGAGCGGGCCCAGGCCGCAGCCTGCGGCGCAGCGCCGCCAGTTCCACCGCCGGTGGGCCGGCCGCTCGGCGCACGTCTGGTAACCCGGTGCTGGCCGTGACGCGGCGCCGAAAATAAACACGGGACCAAGGAGCGCCCCGTCTGCACGGTGCAATCGGCGTGGGCGGCGGCCGGCCTGCTCCCAGCAACAGGCACGGCAGATGGCGTGGTGGCCCGCCGCCGCCCCCCCCCCCCCCCCCCCCCCCCCCCCAACCCGTCCAGCCGGGCTGGCCGAGCGCGACCCGGCGCGCCCGGTGGCATCTGCCGGGCGCCTTCCCGCAGAGCCAGTCTTGACCCCGTCAGTCTTCTTTTAAAGATCGACGCCTTGATAGCTATGAATGACCAGGCGAGCATCGAAGTGGTGTGGCGTGCGCATCACCATTCATACAGGACCGGTCCCGGCCAGACCACTGAACGCGGGTCCTCCTCACAGTACCAATACCGGTGTCACCGACGAGCCAACTGGCTCAGCCACGGCACCCAGCTCTCATGAGCCCCACAAGGTGCAACCGATGCGTCACCTTTTTCGCAGTGGTTTTGTAAGATTCTCGGAAAGCGCCCGCTGACAAAACAGAAACTGAAAGGTCGACAATTTCAAGAAGCACAAAGCACGTGAAACCCGACCGTCTGCCGCAAAAACTATGTCTGTTTAGCCTGAGACATAAACCTGACGCGAATTTTACCCATACAGCAACGCACTATGGAGCCAAGCCCAAAAACCCATGTGGAGCTGTTCACGTAATACAGGCCTGATCGGTCAAACAACGCTGACGAAAGGAACGCTGTTTTGTGAACACGGAGACACAGCTCCGGTCACGGACTCGCTTAGTGTGCTGGGTGACGCCTCGGTCATGTGTTTTTCGCCCCCACCTTTCCTGTTCTCGTGCTGTCGAATACTGCTGGTATTTGGCGACACTTAACCTGCGGTGAAATAGCTTTAACATTCTCGAACAAATCAGGCACCAAGACGGCGCAAAAATAAGTACAGTGTCCTCGACTTTATGTGCAAAATGGATATCCAGATGACATGTAGCCGTCACCGGGGAAAGTCAACCTCGAACCAAAGAACAGGATTCTGGCACATCGAACGTGGGCTGCAAGACAGCCGCAGTATCGGACCACCAATGGTATATACGTATCAGCCATATTGCAACCCCGGATGTGCACCGTTACTTCACTAACCAGCGTTCTGCTGTATCGGAAGGTGTCCATGATCATCACCTGGGCTGCATACAATCCGACAGCTGTTTCATGAAGCGCACAACTTAGGACCTGAACAAATTGGTGAGGCAGTATGGCCTCCGAGGCGCCCAGAATCAGAAACAGAAACACAAAATAAGTTCCAACAGCGCACCGTTGAGCCTCTCTGACGGTTATAAGTCGCCACCAGCCACAGCTGAGCTAGCATACTTATTACTCACATCACAGCGCGCCGATGTCGCGGGTGGCGGCAGCACGGCGGCCGCTGGTCGCCAGCTCAGCTGGGGCCCGCGGCGGGTGGAGCCGGCCGACCGGCTGTAAGTCTCGCCGCCGGCGCAAGTGCATGCCATCGACCGCAGACGCGCCGCGACAGCCGCCGACTTGGCAACAGCCGTTTCGTAACCGAGAAAGGGCGCGCGCGTGCCGGGCGGACGGCGGGCGGGCGAGAGCGCGCTATGAGCCCGTGACCTGACCCAGACCGGAGGGGGAAGGGGGGGGGGGGGGTGGAGCCGAGCCGAGACGAGTGGCGCCGCCCAGCCCCGGCTGGCGGCGGTAACCCGAGAGGCGGGCCTGGCCACGTTGTTAGCTCCAGTGGCCGAGAGCGGGCCGGTTGGCGCCGCGCCCGTCGACGGTCGGCAAGGTCGGCAGAGCTCCTCCCCACCCTCCCAGCGGCCGCGATACATGACAGCTACGGACAGCAGCCGACTGCTCTGTCTGTGCGAGGAGTCCGGCCGTCAGGTAGCCAAACAGGTGGTAATATCTCATGTGCTATAAAGACTCACTTCGTGATAAATTGCTTATTAAGTAGCACTTCAAGGGCTTGGAAGTTGTGCAGTTTTGTACTACCTGAAAATTTCACCTATTTCGCTTCCAATCCTGACTGCTTTGACCTGCTTTCGTGATGGAAGTAGCCCTCTTTAAGCCATATGATCCCGACCTTGTACTCTTTCCGATACATTCGTTTATGGTCTATTACAATCATGCAAATTTATGAACTTTTGTAATGGAAGTAGTCTAATTACCCAGACTACTAACCGGCCAAAGCAAAGCACAGGGCTCAGGACCGAATATGAGATGACATCTGACTATGGGTTGTTGTAGCACAGCGCTCAGGACCAAATATGAGATGACATCTGACTATGGGTTGTTGTAGCACTGCGCTCAGGACCGAATATGAGATGACGACACCTGACTACGGGTTGTTGTATTTAAGGTGGCGGTGGTGTTACCCATTTTTTCATCCATTTCTGTATGATCTTCTTGTTATCTTCCCCACATCCAAGCTATGAGGGGGAGGATAAGATCACTAGCTTCTGAGGTGCTCTGTGAAGTTAGTACCTGCAATGTACAGATGCATCCCAACCAGCCATGGAGGCTGTTCTCGACCTTCACTGTGGTCTGCGATCAATATAGGTACCCCTGCACAGCTGTCCTAGGGCACCAGCAAGGAAGCTTGCAATAAATATTTGTGATGCACATGCCAGTTTGGTGGATTAGTCCTTTGCAATCCATGGTGGTAAGCCTTATTTTACGAGATGTTGGGTATGCAAATTAACACCATCATTGCACCCACTTATACTGCTTCCTTAATATTGAGTTCACTTGGAATGGTCCATGTGTCACTGAATGGCTCATAAGATAAAACATTGTTAACTGCCTTTTGTCTCGGCCATGGAGGTACCATGCAGTCCGGATGTCAATGGCAGTTATGGCTTCCACAATGACTTGAATGATTCCCTCCAACTCAAAGGAAACCTATGCCCTTGCTTCAAACTGAGTGAAAATAGTGCAATGGGTGAACAACATAGTGGAAAGAAAGGTGCTTGAGCATACACCCAGGTTTGACAAAACTATTAAGGAAACACTCCCAATGGAAAAAGTACATACTGAGAGAACAAAAACAGGTGATTCTGCACAAGCATCCTCAGAAATGGGCAGATAACAAACTATTCCCCTGTAAAACCGCACAACGGTTATGAAGCTCAATATGCCACCACATAGTTCCTAAAATGTTGCTATGAACAGAAAAGGGCTGATGATTCCAGCTATTCCCAGGTTATTCCAGGTATTTCACCATCAACTGGCAGCAAATTTCACCACCAACTGGCAGCATATAGGTTACTCCACACATCTTGTAGCACAAAATCCTATTCTCGCTGAAGTTTTGCGGACAATTTTTCCCTTTGGTGATGTAGTAATTCT